GGCAATTATCAATGAGAGGTCAAGATATAAAAAAATACATAGCGAAGAAATGTGAGCTAATGTTAGGGACAACCCTACCAACCAACAAACCAACTATGCAGCCAACCAACCCACCCATGAGCGAATCCAGGATATTCACTGCTAACTTGTACCTGGTAGTCCTGGGCACTGAGCTCACCGAATCAGGCACAGAGCAGGTCTTGTGGGACAGGTGAGAGGGCAAGTTAAACCTGGGCACACCCCACCACCAACATGATATCTCTGAGTTTGGGGTCTCTGTGGACAGACCTTCTCTCCCTCCTGGGCTTATATGGAAGTCGAGTTACACTCAAACCAGGCCTGCCTACCAAACCCAAAACCAAACTCACTGCCATCGAGTCAGTTCTGACTCGCAGTGACCTTGTGGGTTGCTGAGATTGTGTCTGCTTACAGGGGTACAAAGACCATCTTCCTCCCACGAAGCTGCTGCCGGTTTTGAACGACTGACTCTGTGAATGACAGCCCGCCCGATGTGTAACCACCACACCACTGGGGCTCCTTGCAGGCCTGCCTGCAGAGGGAGTGAACTTCCTTCAGACCGAGTGCTGATCCAATGTTCTGACTTCCCCACCCAGCCTGCGAGAAGAAAAGAGGCCTGGGGAGAAGCCCAGGGCGAAACACATGAGAATGAAATGGGGGGACTGAAGGAAGAAGCTTCTGAGGGCCTGGGGAGACAAGAAGGATGTGCTGGTGCAGGATTGGGGTCTCAGCGTGGGGACCAAGCTAATGCCTGGTGGGGTACACCTGACCATCACCGATCAGCATGATCTCAGCAGCTTTACATGCACAGGAGCCAGGAGACAGTGGCTCCCCACCCTCCCACCCCCAGGGCCGGTGGTCATCACTACTGTATGACAATGCCCTACGTGTGGTTTAGTACCACCGACCACAGAGGGGCTGGCAACACGTTGTGGGTGCATCAGTGGAAACCCACTGATAAAAGTGGCCGCAAGCTTCTCTTGCCTCATCGGCGCTCTGGATCCATAAGGTTTCCACACTCAATGCAGAGCTTAAATTGGGTGTAGAGTCTCTCAACCAATCCATGAGCACATTCACTCTCCTGATTAAATCTCTTTGGTTCAGAGGCCTGGCTCCTTATTGCCTGTGCACCATGCAGTCTGTAGGAACGAAGCATCGCGCAAGCCTGCCTGAATCCCAATGTTCCCCTCAGGTTTCTTCTGTGGCTCCTTTGCCCAGGGACTGCCCTTCTGTCACCCGCATCCTACACTTACACCTTCCTCACACCACTCAGCACTGGGTTGCACAGTTTCTTATCTTTTCTCTTCAAGTAGACGACAAGCTTCTTAGAGTGCCCTAGTCTTCTATACTGCACTCCTACCCCTTCTCGAAACTTCCCTCTCGCTCTGCTGAGAGCACAGGAGTTATCTGAAAACTGCGAGTGAATCTCACGATGGACCGTCTTCCCAGAAAGATGTCATATTGCCACCTGTGTGCTTTCTGTTCTTTTCAGAGGTTTCAGGCCAGAGGGGTAGTTATTCCTTAAAAACCACACAGCTCACAGGCCCGGAGTCTCCTGCTTGCTTGCACGATCTCCTCCCCGCCCCACGTGAGGGGCAATGAATGACCTCAGCGCCTTGGCCCCTCTATCACCAGGGGCTCCAGGAGCAGTTCTGGGAGGAGGGCTTGTAGTGCTGTCTGGCAGGTATTATTGTTACGTGCACCATGGAGCACTTAAAAAACTCAAGGTCTTCTTCCCAGCCAGGTAATGCTAGTTCACGTTGACTGGAGACACAACCAACGGAGTAAAAAGTTCCACATGCACAAACAATCTCAGGTAAAAAAATAATTGCCTGGATCCTCTGTCGTTTCACACTTTTCCAGTAATCATAGCATCTAGTCACTTAAGCGAGGAATTTCCTTTAAGGAGTTTTATGGCTTCTCTTAAAGAGGCTGCTTTTGATTTATGGCGATCATGTCTGACAGCCAGCATTTCTCTTAATAATAATCATAAATAAGCCAGACAGGGTCACCTAACCTGAAATGAGCATATCTCCACTGCCCTATCCATCATGGATCTACAGCAGCTGGTCACAGGGGTCTAATGCTCTTGGCCCTCTCTAGTAAATCCCATTCTGAGCATCAGCCGGAAGCTTGCTTCTCTTGTACACCAGCTGCCCCAATATCCCCCTAACACGTGACCTCTGAGGACAATGTTCAGGGAAGGAGGCCGCATCAGAATAAGGACCTATGCAAAGCCCGCTGTCCACCTCCAGGCAGTTGATTATTTCCCCCCATCTCTTTCTCTTTGGTCCACTGAAACAACCAAACCAAAGCATGAAAGTTGTTAAAAAAGAAAATCATAAAAGTTACTGAAATCATGAAAGGGGTTTGTAGACTGAAGGCACAAAATTAGACTCCAAGAAAGCCTTTTATAACCCTGAAACTCTTATGACTGCACTGCAAATGGCCCATAGAAATATAGACTTTGGCTACCAAGACTGAAAAGAATGTAGTAAACGCTTATCACCCAAGAATCATAAAGGCCAGCAGATTTTTGTTCTCTGGGAAGGCTCTGTCGTAGACGAACTCTCTTGTTGTGTGGCGTACAGTGCGTTTAGTTCATTTCAATGACCTTGGCCCTGGAAACGGGACTCGGGCACTGCTGTTACACCCTGAATGGCTTTTGATTTTCACCTTGTCTTAGCCCAGGCTCTGCTCCAAGGTCAGTTGCTTAGACTCCAAGAGGTGAGGGCACTGTCAAAGTGCACCACAGAATGATAGACACACCATCTGGGACATAAAGACGTCAGGCTCTGACAGCCATGCGGATTCCTGGACATGCTTTGAGAGTCACATCGTCACAGTGATGTTTCATGATCTGGGATGGGAGTGGGAGGATGGGCCGTCGAAACCATACTGCCGTGTAAACCCGTGTACTGCACAGTGCCTTGCATTTGGTGTCTCTGATTCGAGGAGGTGGAATGGCTTAAGATGTGCAAGGACCACAGTGCTTATGCTGCAGTTGGAACATTCCAGACCCTGTGCTTGCCTATGAGGGAAGGGGAGGAAGAGGCCACCCTCAGGTTGGAAGGAGAGGTCTGTAAGGCAGTGCTGGGGCAGCAGCTGGAGCAGGAGAGGGGAAGCCCCACCTCTGGATCTCACCCCATCTTTTAATTCCAACACTGGCAGAGGGCACCAGAGCCTAGGGGCCACAGGATGGCAAAGGACAAGTCCAAAAGGCAGCATGCCATACCATCCTCTCCTCAATTGAGGCACAGGTGCGAATGCGGGCCTTGGGGTTTGGTTTCCTTCATTAGCATTCTCTGCTTATTGATAAGCCAGAGTGATTGTTTGGAAGCTACCTAAGAGCAGAGAGGATCCCGGGCAAAATTCTCAACTCGTGTTAGTTGTCCTTGGTCCTTTTAACCGCTCTCTTTCTGTCCTCTCCCTTCCGCCTGTCATTGAACCTCGTCTCCAAGGCCATCAAGGTGCTCCTTCGCTCTCTGTGGGGCCTCCTTTTCTCAGCCCATCATGACTGCCACAGTGCCCCAACTCAGATGAGCAAGTCAGGGTGCTCTAGAGAGGGAGAGCTGGTGGCATAGTGGTTAAGCACTGAAAAGTCCATAGTTCAAACCCACCAGCTACTCTGTGGGAGAAAAATGTGGTAGTGCGCTTCTGAAAAGGTTTACAATCTGGCAAACCTCACGGACAGTTCTCTTCCATCCCCGGGTTGCTCTGCGTCAGGATCAACTATATGGCAAGGGCTTTAGTTGTTTGGGGGGAGGGAGCTTTATGCGCTACTCTCCTTAGAACTTCTCCTTTGATTCTCTCCCCAAAGCATAGTGGTGGACATGTGTAGCTTTTGATGGGGTGTACTCGGTATGCTTGCAAGCCGGTGTGGGGTGTGTGTGTCTGGGGAGGGCAAGCAGGGGAGGGTTTCAAATGGGTGTAAGCATTCCAGACACTATGGTAGGCATATGTAGTTTGTGGTGTGTGTGTGTGTGTGTGTGTGTGTGTGTGCATACACAACTCTCCGCGGGGCTTTGGGCTGGGAGTGGAGAACTGGCTTCTCCTGTTGGAGGAGAGGGAGTGTTCTTTTCCTCACATCCCAGAGGAAGAATGGTGGGTCTCGGGGTCCACCAGACCCACATCTCGGCTTCTGTTGGAGCCCGTAGATCAGGGTTCTCAACCTTCCTAAAGCCGCGACCCTTTCTTACTGTTCCTCATGGTGTGGTGACCCCCACCATAAAAGTATTTTCATTGCTACTTCATAACTCTAATTTTGCTACTGTTATGAATCCTCATGTGAATATCTTATATGCAGGATGTATTTTAATTGTTACAAATTGAACAGCATGACAGCATAGTGATTCATCACAAAAACGATATGTCATTATATATTGTGAAATATTTATTTCTAATGACAAACAAATGAAGGTTTGTCTTGAAGCATGGTGTAGCATGGGGAACAGTCTTCATGCTAGGTACTCGTATATGGGTGTACCTGCCTGTGGGCGGACTGCCTGGAGACGATAGAGGAGTGGTGTCTCGGTTCCTAAGACCCTCCGAACTATGATTTCCCATGGTCTTAGGCAACCCCAAAGGGTTGTTGGTCCCCCAAGGGGGTCACAACCCACAGGTTGAGAACCACTGCACTAGATCATAAGGGTGTATGCCTTAGCCTGACCCCATAGAAAGAACTCCACAGCAGGCTTCTTGGTTCTTGAGTGGTTGAACCTAGGACAGACCCAGACAGAGCCAGCTTCTTCCTACAGCAGGGCCAGCAACCTTGTCCTGGTCCCCTCACATGAATCATGTTCATGACCGAAAGGTACTACCCAACTTCATCAGTAATGATGCACTTCACTACTGGGGGTTTTCTTTGTGCAGTAAAGCTCCCCCCACCCCCTCGCAAGGCTCCCCCACCCCAGGGGACCACCAGGAGCCTGGTCAACCCCTCTGGCTTGGGTGCAACGGGGTCTGTGCCAAGGGAGGCCTACCTGAATTGGACCGTTTCTTCGGAGTTTTGAGGCTGCGGCACCTCCCGCTGACGGAGCTGCTGTTCTCGCTCATGGAGTCCTGGGTGGAGGAGGCACTGCCCGTGGCCTCGCTGTCGCGCATCATGCTCTCGTAGCCACTGCTCCCCCCGCTGTGGTAGAAGAGGGCTGTCTTCCCCATGGCCGGCGGGAGCTCCCCGCTCAACACGCTGCTGTTGTCGCTGCCGTGCCCACTGCTGCAGCGGTGGGGCTTGCGCGGCGGGGTGACCTTGCTGTAAGGCGAGGGCAGCACGTGCACGGGGGCCGCGGCCTTCTCCTCCGCATGGCCACCACGCTCGTCTGCCTCGGGCCCGGCGCGCGGCTGCAGCGCCCGGGGACCCGCGCTGCCCTGCAGCAGTTCGGAGATGCGGCCGTTGACTGCTCGCAGGGGCAGCTTGGCTGCCAGGCCCGAGCCGGAGCCCCTGCTCCTGCTCAGAGACTGGGTGGACCAGGACATGTGCTTCCCGCTGGGGGGCAGGTTGGAGCTCTGGCCCACGGACTGGGGCAGGGACTTGGTGGAGAAGCTGAGGGTTTTGGTGGCGGAGGTGGACAGGCTCCGCGCCTTGGGGCTGGCCAAGAGAAGCTTGCTCACAGCGGAGATCTTGGACTGGCTGGCCTTGGGGGAGGCCCCCGCAGACTGGGTGGTGCCCGAGTTGGTTGGCGAGGCCCCTGCGCTGCGGCCCGGGCTCCTCCCCGCACGGGGCATGGTGCTGTCCTTGCCCGCGTGCATCCGGGAGCTCATGGACGATAGACTCTCGGCCCTCTCCAGTGAGAGGCATTCGTAGTGGCTGACGGTCGTCCGACCCAGGGAGTTGGTCCGGCTGGCCAGCTGTTCTAGTTTGGCACTGAAGAGCTTGCTGCTACTGCTGGCATCCTTCATTTTGCTACCGGGCTCATCTGGGAAGCTGGCCAAGAAAGTGGCTGGCTGGTTCAAGGGGCTGCTGGTACTGCTGCTGCCCGTACTGTGTTGGGGGCTGGCCCTGTTCTTCTGGTCCAAGCTGGACTTTCGGACAGGGGGAAGAGGGGGTGTCCCCTTGGGCCGAGCCAGGACGCAATGCTTGGGTGACGCCATCTTCCTCTCCAGGGTTGCTTTGGTGGGCTGGGTGCCCAAAGCTGTGCCCACGCCACTGAGCTCGGCAGCACAGTGGTAGAAGAGGCTGTCTAGCTCCTCCTGTCTGCTGGCTTTCTGGAAAGCCCTGGGGAGGCTGCTGGACTTCAGGTTCCTATTGGAAGGCCCAGGGCTCTGGGCCGTCGGAGTGGGCAAGGCCATCTCGCAGCCATCCACGATTCTGTGGCAGTTGTCGGCCATCGGGGAGGCAGAGACCTCCCCGCTGCTGCTGCTGAGCCTGTCGCCTGCGCCGACCTCCGGCTCCTGCCCCTGCTCAGGCCCAGCCTTGGGCTTTGTGGGGCTGGGCCCAGTCTCACACCGAATCTCTTCGTTAGGATAAGTGTTCTCTTTTTTCACCTCTTCTTCTCGTTTGAGCCAAGGGTCCTCGAATTTCATCTCCCTCTTGGCACTGGTCTCTAGGGTCTCCTGGGGCAGGGCCGAGCTGCGTGAGGTGGTGGACATCTCGGTCTCCTGGATGTCCAGGGGGCCCATGGCAATGCAGGGATAGACGGTGATGTTGGTCTTCATGGGGAGGTAGCCTTCACAGCGGCCCAGATTGGCCGTGTTGGAGATGGTGACCATGGTTTTGCCCAGAGTTGATATCTTGCAAGCTTTGATGGGGGTGCCCCTGTTGAAAGCATCCTCCCCCATTTCAGACAAGATGAGCACATTATCGGGGCCCGCCTTGGGCTTCTCCCTGCACACCACGGCGGTGTTCTGGATGCTGTTGACAAACTCCGAGGCTGGAGGCTCAGCCATGGCTTCGCCATCCCCGAAGCAAGCCTGGGCTATGAAGCTGTGACAGGACTGTTCGCCATCACTGCCTGTGCTCATCTCGCTCAGCCAGGAGCTGATGGAGGAGCGCCGGCTCCTGGGCTCCCGGGCCTTCTCGTCCAGCGCCAGCTTCGGGAAGGGCAGGAACTGCGTGATGCTGACCTCGGAGACAGAAGCCACGTTTGAGTAGCATTCCAGGTCCTCGCTGATACTGCTGATGATGCTGACAGGCCGAGAGCCGGAGGCCAAGGCCTGCACGGAGCAGTCACTATTGAAGCTGATGATGCTGGTGGGCCGGCTGCTGTCCAGGACCCCGCTGATGGTCAGCTCCTCCACCAGGGTGAAGACCAGTTCGTCCTCGCCGTTCAGCTCCAGGGGCTGCTGCACCGTCACTGTGGTGGTGCTCAAGATCTCCTGCTTGGACTCTGGAGACATTGCTGCAGCATGCTCATCCTCAAGAGGGGCTTCGGGGAGCCCCTCGCTGCCAGCTGACATGGATTTCTTCAAAATCTGGGGGCTCATTCCAACCGGGGGGGTTCGGACCTCGGGCTGCAGCAAGGACTCACTTGACACCATGCCAGAATCCTTGCTCAGAGGAGGCAGGGGGGCAGGAGCGGGCAGGACGCCCTTCTGGGTGTAGACCTTGCATCTCTGAGAAGGAGAGCTGGGAGGCTTGTACTCTGAGGTCTTGGACAAGCTAGCGATGCCCAGTCGGGGTGAGCCCATCGGCCGGGGCTTCCCTTCCATAAAGCCACAGGAGTTGAGGCTCTCGCGGCTGCTTTGGAGGCTGGGGCTCTGCACCAGTGGGGAGGCACTGTGCTGGCTGCTGCTGCCCGGGATGCTTCTGGGAGAGGAAGGCCCCGGGCTGCCGCTGAGTGCCGCGGCCAGGACCAGCACGGGGGAGTGGTTCCGCTGCATCCCGCAGGCGGCCGAAGGGTCAGCACCTTCCCTCTCCGTCAGCTGGCTGCCAGAGCTGTTCTCTTCCTTCTCCGACTCAGAGAGGGAGTCGGCCCCAGCAGCTTGGCTTAGTGAGGGGCATTTGCCGGCCTGCTCGGCCCCCAACGGGACAGGCAGCTCTTCAAAAGGAAACGTACTGGGCTCTTCGCTGCCATCGATGCAATCCAACCTCTCCTGCAGCTCCGCAAACGTGTTGCACTTCAGGCAGTCCCTTTCTGACTTGCAGGCGGCAGCCTCTCCTGCCTCGCCAGGCCGGCTGTCGCTTCTGGTCTTCTGCAAGGCTGGCACGATGGGGACAAAGTCGGGGGGGCCCTCGTTGTCAGTGAGCTCCTTGTCAGAGAGGGCTGTGCCGTTAGGCCCGATGTAGATGACGGTGTCGCAGGACTGCTCGCTGCTGGACGAGTAGTCGGGGTCACTGGACAAGGGAGGGATTGGGAAGTCGGCGTCCACGGCATTCCTGGTGTGGAATGGTCTCAGCTGCGTGGGCCGGCGCATCCGGCCTTCTTCACAGGAGCTTTCTCCCCCTGAGGAGCTCGACGTGTACTGTGGGTGAGAGGAGGCGCGTTAGCGACACACAGAGAGGGGCAGGGGCCGGGGCAGCTGAGCCCTGGGTATGGGGCCATGACTCGGGGTATCCATGCCAGTGTATGTCCCTTTTTCACATCACAGCTACACGTACAAGTGACAACTCCTGTGTGACACACGTGAAGCACAAGGGAGATGCCCATAGAGTGAGGCACCTAGACCAGGCCCTACCTGCACACCCAAAAGCAGAGGAGTTCTCTGATTTGACACCCCCAAGCCAATCGGGGCACACTATACTGCAAACACTGCTTAGAAATCTCTGCTTTACACAAAAACACAGAGCAGCTGTTTCTGACTCCTGGCAACCCCATGGGTGCTATGCAGAACTGTGCCCCATAGGGCTTTCAGGGCTGGGACCTTCCGGAAGCACGCCTAGCCAGACCTTCCCTCCAAGGCAGCTCTGGGTGGGTTTGAACAATCAAGCTTTTAGTTAGCAGTAGAACACGTAGCCATTTTTGTCACCCAGAGGCTGCTGTTTACAAAGAAGGTACAAAGAGAAGAAGAAACGAAGTCCCACACATCACCAACTCACTGATCCTGGACCTTGGTGACCACCGTTGTGGTGGCTTTAAACACTCTGGTCACAGCTACCATGTCTCTGGGCTTGCTGTCCAGAAAATGCGTCCTGTGAGTTCTCGTAGGCTCTTAGTAGCAACTCCCAAGCCTGAAATTAGCACGGCAACACCCAGCAAAATGCAAATGCTGCCCAGAAATGCAAACGCTGCCCAGAAATGCTGGGGGCATGGTGGCCCTGTGAGGGAGATGTTAGGATTCCTCTATGGAGTCGACCCATGGAAAGGGCACGCTTCACCTACATCAGACCCAGGCTCGCAAGAGGAAAACTGGGGCTCGCTCTTAGCCCTCCCATATTTTTCATCTTACAGTGGCCATACATTGGTGGTATTTAAAGTGGACCCGGTGCCCCCCATGGTGTCCAAGACAACTGTAGACCCACCAGCTCGGGCGGGGATGGGCCAGCAGGAACATGCCCATCTACCTGAAAGTTTTCTAGCCCCAGGTGCATCCAGAACCACTCACACAGAGCCCTGACACACCAGGACGGGAAATGCCGATTGGCTCTTTCTAACGCTGTGCATGCACAGGCTTCTTTTAGGGCTGCCACACCCCCCCACACCCTGCATACGCCTTACCTTCGTCTTCTTTTTCTTCATCCTTAGGACTCGGGATGCAATCTGGATGGTGGACAGGGTTTCTGCGTAGTTCCCCGCCGCTGCCGAGATGTGAGCAATCATGGTGGTGCGGCAGTTCATGTTCCCCAGGGACTCCCGCAGCAACATGGTGAGCTTGCTGTCCCTGCCCGGCAAAGTGAATTAAGGCAGCATTAGTGGGCCATGCTTCACGTTGGCTGTCAGGGCATGGCTTCGGGTCTCTGTGGCTTTTTTGTTGTGGGGGTGGTGGGCAATTTTTTTTCTCTCCCCCTTTTTTAATGGCATACTAATTAGCATCCTTTTCCAGCAGGAGGCTATTTGTACTTGGCAGCTGAGCAAGTACATCTAACCCTAAGGATGAGATTCATGCAAAACACCTCCCTTGGCACCTCTGTCCTGGCCGGGGCGGGTACTCCCGTGCGTCTGTGTGTGTGCATCTGATGCGGCTCATAATGAGGCCTGGGAATAGCAATGAGGGCCAGGGATCAAGAGCAGATGCCTTTGTGACCAGGGTTTCAGCATGATAGCTGCACGTGCAGCCTTTCTCTGAGAGGCTCGCACACATGCAGCTCCTGCAACGAAAACACACGGTCCCACAACCGAAAGCTTATGCCAATGACCTATGTGTTTCTAGCACATGCAGCCATTCTAATGTCACTGTCTCTTCACATCTCATACTCTCCCTGGGGCAACACGGGGGCGGACGTCGTGCTCAGACTATAAGTGGGGAGACCCAGACAGAAGCCCAAGCACTCACTTTCTAGGAAGGCCTCCTCTGGGGCTCGGCAAGAGCTGGAGGAACGGTTTACGCTTATCCATCTTACACTTAACCTCCCCCTTCCTCCCACCCCATCTGTCAGTGCGTCTGCACTGTGGTGGTCACTCAAGGAGGGCAGATTTTGGCAGAGCTTCCAAACGCTGACAGACTAGAAAGAAAGGCCTGGCAATCTATTGCTGCCAATGAAAGCGTCATGGATCATGATATAGTGATACAGTGTGGAGGAGTCCCTAGGTTCGGAGGTATTCCAAGTACACAGTGGCTGTGGCAGTAGGCTCACATATGACAGCGAACATTAAGACAGCCAAGTTTTTATTCTGAGTGTCCTTATGAGTCAGAGCATGGGCTCCTCGCTTTTTCCTACCTTTCTCTTTTAAAAAAAGCTTCTGTTTACTTCTTCATCATGGATCCTCTATTAACAGCTGCCAAATGTCAAAACACTGCTTTCTCTGAATTCTTCCCCGATCCTTCAGGCTCAGACGCCCCCTCTGTTTTCAGTGCTGTGTCCCTCTTGTGTTTAGGATGCCAAGTAGGAAGTGTTTGTCTTCCCATCTGTGTCCAGGTCCCCACTCCACTGTGAGCCCCTTGAGGTGGCCACCCCAATTCGCCAGTGCTCCCGGGAGAGGGATTGTCCAGCTCAGTGGCCAGAGGGAGATGGCGACCACTGTCTACAGAGATTGCTGATCTGAGACAGGAGGGACCATTTCACATGTGACCTGTGGCAGGCCTGGAGGGAGGCTGTGGTGTGAGTAAGTAATAGTTTCTCCTTTCCATCTGGGACCAATTAAGGTGTCAGGTTGGGGACCCTGGGCTCACTCTGACTCAGCTCCAGGCCAGTTTACCAACATCTCCATGCCTCCCTTCATGCAGAACCGTCAGTGGTGAAAGCGATGGGAGAGAGAGGAGGGGGTTAGAGCAGGAGCAGGGTCTGGCTGTAAACCTCAAGCTCCCTTCAAAATGCATCCCTCGGATGGTGTAGACACCAGCAGGGCTGCCAGACGGACAGTGAAAGGCAAGCTCCACTCCTTTGGGCAGGAAGTTCGCCACTGAGACTCTAGCTGACCTGTCTGGGATTTTGTCTTCAACGGGGGAAGCCGGAAATGGATCCTTTGAGGGTTTGGTTGCAATCACATACTAGGGAGTTCCTTATGATACCGCGTGTCAATCAATGGCCCCCAACGATGGCATGCGCTACTTTTCCATGCGACCCTAAATAAGACCGCAGGAAGAGATGCCAAAGCCAAAGTCAAAGGATAAACACTGTTATATTGAACCGTTTGCTCTGTGTGTTTCCACATGATTCCTCATTCATGAGTCAATCCTATGGACAATTGATTCAGGGGAGAAAAAAAAAAGCAAAAGTCCACATTGTTGAAAGAAGTCACGGCACATATGTTGCTTAGCAACCAGCACTGTAGCTTTCCTGGTAGGAAGTTGGTGAAACTGCTGCCAGGCTCATGCAGCCCCTAAATTCTACCACACACCCTTGCGGGAATGCAAAGGGTAGGCACATTGCTTTGGCTTTGCCAGATTCACGAAAAGCCTTAGATGTGGAATGAAGACTTGAAAACTGGAGATTTCGCCCAGCATATTTGGTAAGAAAATTAAAAAGGTTCACAGAGTTTCTAGGGTCAACCAAAATAAACTAAAATCAAACTCACGGCCATCGAGTCGATGCCAACGCACAGTGCTCCTCCAGCACAGGGCAGAACTGCCCCCGTGCGTGTCTGGGACAGTGACTGTGAAGGGGAGTGAAAACCTCTGTCTGTCTCCTGGGGAGCAGCTGGTGGTTCTGAACTGCTGACCTTCCAGACTACAGCCCGACTTGTAACCACTACTGCACCAGGGCTTCTCTAGAGCAACAGTCAACACACACACACACACACACACACACACACACACACACACACACCCTCCACCAGGGCTTCTCTAGACCAATAGTCAGCACAAACTCAGCCCAGACCTTTGTATTAAGACTGAAAAAGGGGAAGAGAATTGCCCATGAGGAGCTGCTAGCCCGGCCCGCCCCACAGTGCCAGGCTGGCCAGAGGGTTGGCCAGGGGCCAAGAGGGAGGAGGCTTACATGTGAACAGCAGGTGGGGAGCGGAAAGGACTAGAGGGTAGCATGGGGAAACCATGCTACACTCTCATGTGGCCAGCTTTCATGAATACATATCCACTTCTCCTCACCCCCAACGTTAAAAACGACTATTGACAAAGTGACCATCTTTTTCAAATACAGAAATCTTTACATTAGATACAGCAAGAGGGCAGGAAATGGGATCATGAACACTCAGAGACTGACTGGGGAGGCCACTGGGTGGCGCAGCATTCTGTTCCACTGCACACCAGGCTATGAGTTGGGGTGTATTTGATGGCAGCTAACAGCACTATTACGTCCTCCACAGGGTTCTCTTGCTTAGGGACATCCAGCATTGCTCACACGGAGCTCCCTTCTACCACCACACAACTCAGGGCCTCCTCTCTGCTCACACTTGTCCTGATTCCTCTCAGCAGAAGCTTGAGATCAGGAGCTGTACTCTCATTTTGACCTCTCTTTATAGCACTCAGCCAATGTTATAACAATAGCTCTAGGGCAGACGCAAAAGGCCCTACTATATTTTGAAAATGTATTGATGTAAAAGTCACTTAACATGTAATTAATCACTTCAAAGGTTATGCAACCATCACTCCAAGATATTTCCATAACTACTAATAAACCCTCACTCACTGTGCAGTGTCTCCCCACTCCCACTCTCCCGGCAATCCAGCAACGTTCCATAGCTATGGACTTAAAATCTGTTCTGGGCATTTAGTAGTATTGGGATCATATATTTTTCCTTTTCTGTCTGATGTCTTTCTTTACCTTATCACACTGTTTTGAAGGTTCATTCATGTTGTACCACGCATTAATACTTCATTATTTTTATGGCTGAATTGTATGTATATGACACAGTTTATTCATTCATCTATGGATTGGCATTTGGGTCATTTTCACCTTTTGGCTATTATGAACATCACAGAACAAATCTCTGTTTAAGCTCCATTTTCAATTATTTTAGGTGTATACTTATGAGAGAAAGTGCTGGTTACATGGTAGCTCTCTATTGAACTTTTTGAAGAATTGCCAACCCAAGAGATCAAAGAACATATGGCTTTGGGTAAATGAGCTGCACAAGACCTCTGTAGAGTACTGAAAAGTAAGGATGCTACCTTGAGGACTAAGGCCATTGCACTTTCAATTATCCCGTATGTATGTGAAAGTTGGACACTGAATAAGGAAGACCAAAGAAAATGTGATGCGTTTGCATTGGGGTGCTGGTGAAGAAGAGAGAAAGTAAAACCATGGACCACTAAAATGACAAACCCACCTGTCTTGGAAGTATAGTAGCCAGAGTGCTCCTCAGAGGCAAGGACGCCCACACTTTGTCTCACATCCATTGGACATGCTGCCAGGAAAGACCAGTCCTTGGAGGAGGACATCAAGCTTAGTAGAGGGGGAGCCAAAAAGAGGAAGGCCCTCAAGGAGATGGACTGACAGTGTGGCTGCAACCCTGGGCTCAAGCACAGGAGCAATGGTGGGGACGGCCCAGGACCAGGCAGTGCTTTGTTCGGCTGTGCCTTGGGAGGTTATGGGTCAGACCCAAATTGACGGCACCTAACAAAAACAACCCATTTTCTATAGTAGCTGAACAATTTTACATTCTCATCAACAGTGCATGTGTACTACCATTTTCCCCACATTCTTGCCAATACCTGCTTGTTCTGTTTTTGAAAAATTATGATTACTGTAGCCATCTTAATGGGTGTTAAGTTTACCTCATTCTGGTTTTGAGTTGCATTTCTCTAGTGACTACTGAAAAGGAGCCCTGGTGGCTTAGTGGGTTAAGTGCTGGACTGACAATAACTGGAAAGACAGTGGTTCAAACCCACCATCTGCTCCTTGAGAGAAAGATGAGGCTGCCTGCTCCTGTAAAGATGTAAAGTTCTAAGGAGTAGTTCTTTTCTGTCCTATAAGTTTGCCATGAGTCAAAACTGACTTGATGGCAGTGGATAATGACCAGTGAAAGAAGGTACAGTGATTAATGCTCGGGTGCTAACAGTAGGGCCATGGTTGAGCCCGACACTCATTCCACGGGAGAGGGAGGTGGCTGTCGAGGGGAACCCTAGAGAGGTTCCACTCTATCCTGGAGGGTCACTATGAGTTGGAACTGACTTGATGACAATGGGGTGGGTTTAATGAGTAATGAACTTGAACATCTTTTCATGTGCTTTATGGCTATTTGCATATCTTCTTTGGATATATGTCTGTTCAATCTTTTGCCCGTTTATCAATTCAATGATCTTTTTGTTGTTGAGGTGTAAGA